CTGACGCCCCCCTCACGGCCACATGTTTTGCAACCCTCCTTCCAAACCCATCCTCTGTCACCTTCTCTGATGTTGTTGAGGAACAAGCCCGACTCGATTGGCTTGTCCGATTAGGCAATGAACAACGCCACCATGACTCATATCCAACTCCTCTCATCGCTTCACCATCGCTATACCCAAGGCTACCTCTCTTGCCCAAATTTCTCAACAATCTACAACAAACTTCGTGATCTCGACTCAGTCCCCGACTACTCCCTTCACGACCAACTTCTTTACATTGACACCAAAGGCACTCACCGACTTTGCATCCCCAACGCTCGTGGCCTCCGTACCCAGCTCTTGGCCGATCATCACGACGCCAAGACTGCGGGACAACTCAGGTTCCAGAAAACCTTCGACACCATCTCTTGTTACTTCTACTAGCCTTCCCTACTCACCGACGTCAAAGCCTACATTCGCTCATGCCCCACATGTCAAGCCGTCAACCCCCCAAACCGCGCTAAGCCCGAGAAGATACAATCATTGTCGATCCCCGCCCACCGATGGCAATCCATTTCCATTGACTTCGTTTGCGATCTCCCCAAGACCGATCGCGGACATGATTGCATCTCTGTCATTGTTTGTCGCTTGACTAAACTCGCCCAATTCATCCCTTGCACCACATCGCACAACGCCAAGGACGTCGCCATTCTCTTCTTTGACCATGTCGCACGCCACCACGGTCTCCCCGAGAACATCATCAGCGACTGTGACCCTCGCTTCCTTTCACAATTCTGGAAACACCTCTTTAAAGCATACAGAACCACGCTCAAGTATAGCACTGCATTCCACCCACAGACCGATGGACAAACTAAGAAGATGAACGATACTCTCCAAAGAATCCTGCGAAAGTATTGTCATCCACATCAAGACGATTGGGATCGGGTGCTCACCGCTGCCGAGATCGCCTAATGTTGTTTGTCCTTCCACTGGCATGTCTCCATTCTGCCTCGACCTTGGATCTCATCCGCGCTTGCCCTCCGGCTTCCTGCTCCCCTTGCAACTCAACCCCTCCACCCCTTGCCCTTCTCTCAATGAATGGGTAGCAACAATGAACAGACTCCTCAGAGAAGCTACCGAAGCCCTTGAAAGAACACAAGAACAACAAGCCAGCAAGACTAACAAACACAAACGTGACGTCTCATTCAAAAAAGGGGACAAAGTCTGGCTCTCCACCAAACACTTTGAACCCTAACACGGCTTGTCCAAGAAACTCTCGAACAAATGGCCCGGTCCCTTCCCCATCATTGAACAAACCTCCCCCGTCAATTACAAGCTCCAACTCCCCCCTGACATGAGCCGTGTCCACCCTGTCTTCCACATAGAATACTTAAAAGAATATCATGAATCCCCACCCCAATTCGCTGACCGCCCTTACCCCAAACCTCCACCGATCATGCTTCCCACAGGCCCATAATTCCTAGTAGAATCCATCATAGGACGAAGAACTACTCATGTATCCGACCACCCGGAACCAATCACAAAATACAAAGTTAAATCGACAGGATTTTCTAACGAAGAATCCACATGGGAACCTCTTCTTAACCTTAAGAATGCTATGAAACTTGTTCGCGCCTATGACCATGCTCACCGTATATCCTAGATACATAATATAACTCAAACCCTAAGCCCTTGCATAAACCCCGCCTTGACCTTGCCAAAACCCCGCATTCTGCTTTACGCACACCCTTGTTACCAGCGAAGCCCTTGCCTCTTGAACCCCCCCCCTGTCTGATCCGCCCTTGCCTCCGCCTTGCCCCGTTCTCCCATCTGTCCTCCGCCACATCCTTGTCTCTCTTGTCCAAATTCTCTTTATGGCCCCTGCGCGTCGTCGGCGATAATGGATCTAGTGGCAAGCGCACGAGGACGATGGCATGTTGCAGCTCGGTACAAGGAGATAAGACAACTGGTTGGCCACCATGTTGTTCCCTTTGGCCGACACCTTGGACTCGCAGGCTTCTGGAGCAGCACCTCTGACATGGACATCAAAATCAGTCTGCGACCTGCTATCCGGATCAGACCTCATCATCATATCGTGTACCGGACGCAACCTGCTACTGCGACAATCAAGTTGAAGTCCTCGTCGTCTACATCACGAAACTGCTGAAGACTGTTTCCTCACCGCCACTTCTATGACACCCTCCAAGACCTTCCTCAAGACATTTCTTTGCTTTTGACACTTTGTTACAGACCTGAGACGTTGTTTTCCCAGAGCCCTCAGACACCCCAGCACTTGAGCATTGAACAAACTTTTTTTTTTTTTTTTTTTTTTCTCAAACCCGACAACCTACAACCTTGTAGAACACCAATAGGACCTCCCTGTTACTTGTAGAACCTCACTAGGATTACCCTGTTACTTGAACATTGATTCCCTCATCCATGTAGAACCTCAATAGGATTACCCTGCTACTTGAACATTGGTTCCCTGATCCCTGTAGAACCTCAATAGGATTACCCTGCTACTTGAACATTGATTCCCTCATCCCTGTCGGACACCCATAGGATTACCCTGCTACTTGCATTACTCCCCCGTTCCTTTTCTGACCAGTGATCGGCCCTGTTCCGTCCTTCACAATTGTTCATTGGGTCTTTGGCAGCCGGGACGTTGCCTTCCAGAGGGAGGGGATAGTGTTACGGACCCAGCCAGGGCTCGATCCCTGGTCTGCAGGGTACCACCCGCCAGGCTTCTATTCTATTTTTTTAATTTTTTTTGGAGTTTCTGATCTCCGGTTCCTAACTGTTGGCTCCCTCTGCAGTTGGCGCCCGTTCTCAAATCCCGCCTCTGCCACTTTCGGATTTCGTACTTGGCGCCATCCGGCATTCTGGCGCCCAGGCTCAGACCTTCGATTTTCAGTTCAGCCCCGAGGCAAATTGCACTTTTGCCCTCTGACTCAACTCGACTCCGGTACTTAAGACCGGACTCAAGCTGAGTTCGGGGACTCAGTTTTCAACCTCAGTGCTTGTGCTTCAGTGTGACTTATTGCGACATTGTGTACGGAACCAAGATTGCGACTTTGCCACTTTGTCTCCATCTCGAATCCGTGTCGAGTTAAATGAATGTGTGTGTGCGTGCTCTCACTCCCTCCCTCTCTCTTCCCCGACCTCGCTGCTCCGCCTCAGCCCCGTCATACTCAGACTTGCATGGGGGGATCAGCTGGACCACCAGGAACATAGCCATCACACGACAACCACCCTTCAACTTCCCGAGATACAAGAGAGGCCCTCGCGTTGGCCTGAAGACCTTTCCGTTAGGGAGGATGGAGGGCTTAGGGTTTAATACAGCAGGACAGCGTTTAGACAAAAACGTCTATCAGCCAAGGAGACAGAGCCTCATCAGGGATGGCCTCTTTACTTTAGAGCTTCAAGAATAGCCGACAATTAGAATAGCTGAGAGGAGTACAGGAACTGATAGATAGGACACTTAAGAATTAGGAAGGACAAAGGCGGATTGTGGCGAGCATTTGCTTGTAAGCTAAACTACATAATGCTCCCAGGATAACCCCGGGTCGAATTGTGAGGTCCCCGACCTCAAACAATATTTTTCAATGTAATGAAATGTCAAAACAGAAAGAAGCTAGGCTGTTTTCCCGGGCGCCCGGGCACTCAACTTCTGCCCGGGTACACACCCGGGTGCCCGGCCGGGCATGACACCCGGGCAGGGTTCCGAGCAGGCCCAGCGCCAAAAAAAAAAAAAAAAAAAAATTCCGGAAAAAAACATATGTTGTGTAGGATTGAAATACAAACGACTTTTGGCTGAGGGTCACATTATAATTCCTCACAGAATCGGAGATAAAAAAAATAATAATAGAATCACACAAAGGCACCCCCCTTTAGACCCCTTTAGCCCCTTTAAAAACAATCTATACCTCCCTCCCCCCCACTGGACAGCCAACTCGCAAAAAACGAAATGAGCCCGGATTTGGAGTCCTCTCGGAGAGCGCAGAAAACCAAAAAAAAAAAAAAAAAAAAAAATCTTTTTTTCTTTTTCTTTTTTTTGCACGCCCGGGTACCCCGGGCGTCAGACCCTGCCGGGCGTCACACCTGGGTGCCAGCCGGGAAGACCAGCTGGGCGTGAGAATCTTCCTAGGAAAGAAGAAAAAAAAGTAAGCAACTCAGAAAGAAACAGGAAAATGACTACTGGCCCAGTGGACCATCAAAGAGAGCACAATGGCCACTTTGTCCCTGTTAGAATGCACGTTGAGATGCAGACGGTCAGATGCCTGATCTGCACCATGATGCGTGCCAAGGTACACTGTGATTGGGACATAGCGGTTCTTTTGTTGCTTTGCTGTGGACAGAGTAGCCTTTCCCTTCCCATCATCAACAAGAGGAGACAGGGAGCACGCCTGTGGGGCAGCAGCCATGAGACACTACACACATCAGCATGGCCATGAGCTCTTTCGCTGAACTGGGTTTTATTCCCGAACAGTATCTGATCACAGGTCTAAAAGATAAAAAAGCGACACAACAAGAAAAGAAGGGCCTGATCACTTACCCACAGCTACGCACATGGTAGAAACACAGTATCTGATCTGTGTTTCTGATTTCATTTCACCTACTCCTCAGACTGTCCCGTTCCTCTTTTTTGTCCTTCAGCACGCAATGAACCAGATCTTTCATGAGTACTTGGACAAGTTTATCGTTGTGTACCTCAACGATATTCTTATCTTTACTAAGACTGTAGAGGAGCACGATGAGCACGTAAAAATATTGCCAGGTCACCTAAGACAGCACTAGTACGAGGCCAACTTGGAGAAATGGATATTTGGTCGCACCAAGATCTTGTATCTGGGTCATGAGAGTTTCGTGGACGGTTTGAGGCCGAATGATGCTGAAGTGGCCATCATACGTGACTGGCCCAGACCTCAGTATGTGACTGAGGTCAGGTCATATTGGGGATGCCAGGCTATTATCACCCATTTCTGAAAAATTACATCACGATAGCCTCCCCATTAACTAACCTCACACGCCTTGACACCCCTTGAGCGTGGATCGAAGAGTGTGAGGCATCCTTCAAGGGATTGAAGTATGTCGTGACGCACTGCAAAGTGTTCAAGCTTCCGGATCCTGAACAACCCTTTGTTGTCACCACAGCCGCCAACCAATATGGCATAGGCGCGGTCCTTGCGCAGGAGGGGAAAAAGTTGAGGCTGATCGAGTACATAGGCAAAAAGATGTCATCTCAAAAGTTAGCTAAGTCCACGTATGAGTCCGAGCTCTATGCCCTCTATAGAGCGCTGGTCCATTGGAGGCACTACCTCCTAGGCAGATTCTTTTATGTGAGATCTGATCATGAGACACTGCGCTGGATCAAGACACAACCCGTGCTCTCCGACGCACTTAAGAGGTGGATTGAAGCCGTAAACATGTATAACTTCAAACTCGACCCTCTAAAAGGGGAGTACAAAAGTGGTTCACGCACTATCACGAAGGGCAAACTATCTGGGCGCGCTAGTGACTGAGTTTGGAATAGTTGACAATGTAACTCGATCCATGGTGGAAGCCTTTCGAGAGGACACAATCATGTATGAGATCATTCGCAAACTGGAAGCTAAAGATAAGGCTACTTCTGATGAGTTTGTGCTGGTCGACGGCTTGCCGTTTCTTGAGAAGGCTGGGAATAAACGATTGTGTGTTCCGAACAAAGAGTCTTCGCGTAGTCTATTTTTAGGAGAGTGTCACGATGCGACTGGTCATTTTGGCTATAAAAAGACAGCAGCAAACTTTGTGCAAAAATTTTGGTGGCCCACAATGATGGATGATGCAAAGAAGTACGTAGAAACTTGCCAGGTTTGTCAGCGTGACAAGCCCCGAAAGCAGGCACCGCTTGGGCTGATCAAGCCCTTGCCCATCCCTGCTGGTGCAGGTTGAAGTGTATCCATGGATTTCATGGATACCCTTGTGACCAGCAAGAGCGGTAAACGACACATCTTCGTCATTGTGGACAGATTCACGAACTACGGTAGACTAATCGTTGTGCCTGAGACAGCTAGGACTGACCACGTCATCAAGCTATTTATGGGCAACTTGTACGTGACTTTGGTCTCCCTAAGTCTATTGTAAGCGACAGGGATGTTAGATTTACTAGTGAACTATGGCAAAGTACGGCCCAACAGATGGGTACCCGACTGCAAATGACATCAGGGAACCACCCTGCGTCAAATGGTCAGGCTGAACAGATGAACCAGGCAGTGCAGCACTTGCTTCGACATTACATTGAACCAAGTCAGGATGACTGGGACGAGAAATTACCCCTCGTCACCAGGCTGTACAGTAAAGCCGTGCACAACACTACCGGCATGACTCCCAACCAATTGCATCTTGGTTGGAAGCCCGGATCTGCACTAGACTTCTTGTTGCCTGAAAATCAGCCAACTGCAGGCCACCCCATAGAATTTGCTGTCAAGTATGAACAGGTGCTGCAGCAGGCTGTAGAGCACATCAAGAAAGCTCAAGACGCCATGGTTGCATCTAAGAACTGATACAAACGACCATCAAAGTTTCAGGTAGGTGAACGAGTCTGGGTAAAGTCATCTGAGTTGGGGCAGGAATTAGGAATCTCACGTAAACTCGTGCCACAGTACTTTGGCCCCTGGGAAATTTTTGATATAGTGGGAGATCAACCAAATGGGCCATCATATGTCATTCGCATCCCTGGACACGTACGTACCCACCCTGTCTTCCATGCATCAAAGTTGGCACCTTTCTCTGTCACTGATCAGTTTCGCTCCAGGAGATCGATGCTGCCCCCAACCATGGATGGACATGTGGACATTGACGAGATCATTGAGCACAAGCCGATGCCGGAACCCAAGCCTCCAGTCAGGGGACACCCTCTGAAACCGCAGATGCAGTATCGAGTACGTTTCAACCATCATATGGATCCTAAAGAAGATCGATGGTTCACCTGAGAGGCATTGATGAAGACTGCTCCCCAAGTCATCACAAGTTATGAACGCAATTTGAAAGGGAAGCAGCCTGCTGTGTAACTTCTCAGAGGATTATCGAAGTAAAGGACGAGGGAGTGTGAGGGTTTGATCCCTCAGCATAACCATATAAGACCCTACATCAGGCATCTGCCCGCCCAAAAAGTCAAGTCGGGCCTCTGAACTCATCAATTTTTGCAAATCTTGGTCGGCGCCAGACAGTTGCCACACGCCAGTTGGTTACATCCGCCCTGCACGTGAGAATGGGAAATATTTGTGAGCCTTCCAGGTCATTCTAATCGTGGCCAAAGCAGGGGACATCGCATGATCATGCCTGGGTGGTTGGGCATGCCTAACCTATTCGGTCCCAGGCCACTGTCCGAACGGGCCTGGGCACAAGCACTTGGGCCGAGACTCAAGCTACGGGAAACTCGATCTCACCTGACGGGGGCAAGGCAAAGCGCCCGCCACTTTCCATATAGGAAAGGGCCGGGCACCAGGGACGACATTCCGACACTTGCATTTGCGGGCGCAGAGCTGCTAGAGCATCGGCTAAAAGGCTTCCTGCTCCGCTAGTGCGAGCGAGGGGGAGCACACGGGCATCATGAGGTGCAGGGCGCTGCTGAGGGCGGCGCCATAGCCCAGCCCTTCATAGCCGGGCTTCGGGCTTGGATGGTCAGCAGGTGGTGGTGATCTTCGTGTATGGGGAGGAGACGTGGGTAGAGAAGACGAGGCAAAGAGAGAGAGAGAGAGAGAGAGAGAGAGAGAGAGAGAGAGAGAGAGAGAGAGAGAGAGAGAGAGAGATGCGGATGATGACGTGAGGGCACGTACCTGGTCTTGGCGATAGTCTACAAAGGTCGACATCTTCATGTATTTCAGTTCTGCTGCTGACGTCAACAGTTGCATTATCAGTTTGTAGGCTGGTAGTAGCTGCGTGATAGTGGTCTCGGCGCTGAAGCACCAAGTAGGAGAAGGGCTCTGGATGCTTATGTTGATGAAGGCGAGAGTATGCTCTCATTCACACTCGGATTCAGTGTTTTGGTTATCCACTGGTGTACTATGGGTGCAATTCTTCTTTCTGCATAGTGTCAGACTTCCTGGCTTTCAATGTGATTTTGCAATCTGAAATCTGTCATTTCGCTATTGCTCATTTTCCTTGCAATGTGTTTTTCCCTGCTAATTAAGTATGATAGTGGTACTGGTGAGTACCACCTTGTTATGAACATGATTGTCCGTTGAAATTTTATCAACGCTCACTCACAGAAACCCCCGTACATGCCCATACATGCACCGCAGGAACGGGAGAGGTAGTGGAGTGTCACACTGCCCAACAAAAGGAACGCAGCAGAAGACTCAGAGGAGCGAAGTGATAGAACACACAAAACTGTGTATTCTCTCCACACAAGTCCCAACAATCATTCATAACAGACAACCGAGTGATCACAGACAAAAATCAATGAAGAGATGACAACTCAAACACAGTAATACAACTATTTGTTAAACTCATAGCATCGTTTTCACTGAATAACCTCAGAACCCTGTTGCGCTACCCTCAGAGGCATAGCGCCTCGACCCCACACACACCGAGCAGCTAAAAATAGCACCAGAACCCCAGGTAACACCCAGTCCCACCCTGACATCCAACTTAGTGGCCTGCGCCAAGATGAAACAGGCTCCCAGAGCCAATCGGCACCCAGATGATGAAGAAGAAGCTCAGCGCCAACAGTCCATGATGAAGTTGAAGATGAGGTCCAGACGATGATATCCTCTGAGAAGATGCACCTATGGCTGCATCGCCACTGAGACCCTACTCTTGAGGAGGGTCAGCAGTGCACCACGTGCTCCCACGCATCAGACCTCTGATAGCCCAGACCGCTTTGACTCCCCGAGAGTCAGAGCGGACAGAGTTGACCCCAGTCTGGTCAGCGCTCAGTAGGTCTGGCTATGTCTGCCGTCTCCACCACTGGAATCAGCAACCACGACCTGATACCGTGTGTGCAGCAACTTCCATCACGAAGTGTCAACTGCCAAAAGCCCAGGACCAATGTCCCCATCCTATCTATACTCTAGACTAGCCTAGACACGACCTAGACCGGACTGACTGACCGACCGGTACCGTTTCTGTTTCGGCCTTTAGGGCCTCTCCCTACCCGACTATAGGCGATAGGACCGTCTATCAGCGTAGGCCCATTGGGCCTGTCTGYCCTAGGGGTAGCCCGGGTCTGCTATTCGCAGTTAGGATAACTGTAGGAAATTCGAGTTAGTACTGGGCCCATATCTCCTATATTTACAAATATGTCCCTCACAAATTTTCCTTACAAGTAGGTCTCTCGGTTAACCCTCAGCCAAACAAAATGACGAATATGTCCCTACCTATGGTACAGCCTCGTCTGAGAGAGGCTACAGGCAACCTGGAACCAGCAAGTCATTGGAACCTCCTGGTTGCTTGTCGCTGTGCTACTTATATTAGAAGTGCAAAGGTTCCCCATGCTTGTGTGATTGAGAGGGAAATGTCTATACATGTGAATGTCTGTGTTGCCTAAGCAATCACGAGGGCATCATCCCCAAATCCATCGACATCCATCCACATCCATTTAGAATTGAAATGAGTGCAAGGTTGACCAGTGTGGTTGAGCGCCAAGTACCTATACATCCCTATGCCCTAATGAAGGGTGCACTTGCACATTATGAAAAGGAAGGCGGGCCAGAAATGATACTCACCAGCAAGCACTCAGCCAAAAAGAATCATAAATCAGTTTATCCCATCAATTTCTATTAAACAAATACCAATCAGGAAAAAGCCTGGGTGAGGACGCCACCCGGCCAGGCTCGGCCCGGCTGGTCGGGCCCTGGGGCCCCCCACGGGGTAAACAGGGCGGTCCAAAAAACAGCCCAGAATTTTTTATTTAAACAAAAACGGGGTCGTTTTGCGCTCGGCAAGAGGACCCCGAATCCGCAATAAAATTTTGGTTCTGGGGGGTGGGTGGGGGGGGTTGGTCTGGGTGGGGGGTGCTGGGGTTGGGGCCCCTGCATGTATGTTGCCTACTGTATGCTGAATGTATGTCATCTGATATGTACTGAGTTGGGTGCTCTGCATGTTTGCTCTGATGTCTGCTGCATGCATGCTATCAACTTATCGACCCTTCCATTCTGAAGAAGAACAAGACTGACAAAAAATGAAGAAGACTGACGAGAAGGAGAAGAAGAAGAAGACTGATAAGATTGACACGAAGAAGAAGAGGACTTTTAGACTGACAACTTGCAGGAAATCCAAGAGTTCTTCAGCAGCATATCAGCTGCACATGGCCAATATCGGTCCACATTCAAACACATCTCTCTCTGTCTCTCTCTCTCTCTTTGCATGGGTCCTGGGAACCATCTCACGCAGATGTGTACATGCCATGCATCATCTTCACACACAGTGATCAATAGTCTCAACCATAGACAAAGGTAGAGAAAAAGAGGACCGAGTTTCACAGCTTATATTATCAGAAATATGATTACAAAGTGTTTCGAAGTTCCCCTGAGTCCAGCGCTCATCAGCGCAACACAAATCTCTGGTCAACTCATCAATATGACTTCCAAGGCATCAGCGCTACTCTTGCAGATAGTCTCCAAGTCATCAATATGGTCACAACTCATCAGCGCCACCTCTGCAGTTCACAACCAACTCARGTAAGTGTCTCCCATAGCCAAACCTTGAATGAACACTCTATATCTCAGTCCCTTCCTCTTACGATGCATACRCATTCTCTACTCATGAGGATCTACTCTGAATACGACTCAAAGCTACATACTAACCCTCTRCTACTAATGCTAACTCGYTGGGCAGCTATGGCTGCGTCATRTCCAGCGTACAGTCTTCTTCCTCCATTCAGCGCAGCTTCTACCTCCAGCGCTGCTCCTTCTGACTCAGCGCACAAGTGCACCAGCACTTCCACGCATTGCAGCCAGTGGAGATCTGGCGAGGAATGAGGCTGGCAGCTTTCTTTATAGTGCTGGCCACTCCTCGCTGGGTCTGCATTGGCTCAATTCAGCCTGTTCTTTGTCCCAGACCCTGCATTGCATGTGTCCCAGTGTAGTCCCAATGAGGTTCGACTGCTGCTGAGGCCTCTCGGCCTAGATTTGGACTTCAAAGTCTGGATCTGGACTGACCCCTTGACTTAGACCAGAACTGGGACTGTGCCTATTGATTTTACTTTCGAACAGGCACAACTCTAAACGAACAGACACATTCCTTTGCACGAACAGGTACACTGTCTGCACGTACAGACACACTCTTACCCGAACAGACATGACATACACAGCTCCTGGAGAACAGGTAAGTCCTTTGACAATGCCCTTTGCCTTAGATTTAGATGTGCCTGTTGATAGAGAACTTGACCTTTGACCTGCTTTCACGTTTCTGAGCCCTGGCGAGATACCTTTTCACAATGCTTTACTTTTTCAAGGCCCGTGCTGCTTTATTTTTACAAGGCCTGAGGCCTATATCTGTCTCTTATACACATCTAGATGTGTATAAGAGACAGCTTTTTCAAGGCCCGTGCTGCTTTATTTTTACAAGGCCTGAGGCCTATATCGGGTAAAGGTCCTTTTACTCTCGCCGACCTAGTTTCGAAGTCCTCTGAGAATCATTTACCTATCAAGGATATGAATCCCTCTCTTTGCGCTTTCGTATGCAGACACAATATGAGGTGCAGAATCTAACAGCTCTTCTCTTGTAAACCAGCGATCTTCACTAGGATCCTGGTATGCAAACCTCACCTTATACTGTCGCTGTGGTCTGCCTCTACGTCCAGTGTGGTAAGTACCTTATACTGTCGCTGTGGTCTGCCTCTACGTCCAGTGTGGTAAGTACTTTCTGCAACAATTTTATCTACGTCATACTTCCCATCCATACTTGGAGGTATCGCTGAGCGGCGACTTGGAAAGAGCTCATTTGTTACACAAGGTAAGAGCTTGGACGCATGGAACACTGGATATGTACGTAGATGAGGAGGAATCTCAATGACATACGAAGTACCATCCACATCTCCAATCACATCTAAAATTTGCCAAGGTCCTCTGTAGGCGGGTAAAAGCTTCTGGGAGATGCTCTCTTCAGGAGCAAACTCCTTAGATTTCACCCAAACCAAATCTCCTACAGCAAATTGAGACGGTCGTCTTTGTTTATTTGCCTGTTCAATCATCTGATGCTGTGCTTTAAGTATATTTTCTTTTACTTTCTCAATGTCTTTCTGATACTGGACTGCAAATTCACTAGTCCCTACAGGAAGCTTGTGTACTTGATCCGGGTTCAATCGATCAATGGGTCTGCGTGGATGCCATCCCAGATGTAACTCCATAGGAGTCTTACATGTAGATAGATGTACAGAGTTATTATAGGCACTAACAACTTTAGGCAGATGTTCATCCCAGTCAATCTGATCGGGACGAATGTACATGCGCAAAGTCTGCTCCAAGATCTTATTCATCTGTTCAGTCTGACCATTAGTCTCAGGATGCCTACCTAATGACATTGTCAACTTAGAGCTATATACATTCATCAGTTGCTGCCGCTGTTCACTTGTGAATCGGGTATCTCTGTCACTCACAATAGTTAAGGGATGTCCAAAGTCTTTTACCCAATGGTTAAAGAACTCCCGAATTACCAAATCGGTCTTTGCTTCCGAAGGCAAGGCTACAAAAACAGCATACTTAGTGAATCTATCCACTATGACCATTACTTGCGTTTTCCCATTTCTGCTTTTCACTTTAGTATCCATGAAATCTATAGAGACAGAGTCTCCAGGGTCGGTAGGGATAGGCAAGGGCTTAAGTATCCCAAGGGGCGATTGCGTGGTGCTTTTGTTTCGTTAGCACACTTAGCAACCTTGCACATACGCGATACAGTCTGCTTTCATTCGAGGCCAGGTGTACGAACGCAATAAAGTTTCATAGGTCTTCTTCCACCCGAAATGACCTTCAATATCATGGCATTCCCCCAAGATCATACTCTTGATCTCCTCATTATTCGGTATACACAGCCTATCATACATGTTAGTTCGTTCAAACAATAGACCGTGAGTTACTTTATGATCGGGAAACTCTGCTGGCTTTTCTTGCACTAGCTTAATCATGGTCCCATAAACAGGATCAGAGGGATACGCATTTCTAATCTTTTCTTGTAGGTCTACACCTACATCTAGATAAGTCACGATCACACCGAAAAAGTCTGATCTACGACTTAGTGTATCAGCAACAACGTTATACTTACCCTTGACTGGCTTCAGCTCAAAGTCAAACATATCAATCTCTGCAGCCCACCTTGTCAACTTAGATGTCATTCGAGCTTGCGTTTTGAGCCAGCGAAGTGTTTCATGGTCAGAGTATACTTTAAAATGCCTTCCTATAAGGTAGTGTCCCCAATGATTGAGAGCCTCACGCAAAGCATACAACTCTCGTTCATACGTTGAAGCGGCCACCTTCTCGTTAGGTAAGCGGCAAGACATAAACTCTACAGTTTTGTACCCATGCCCATCATCTTGCTGGAGTACAACACCTATACCATACTGACTAGCGTCGGTCGTGACCACAAAAGGTAAAGAAGGGTCCGCCACTTTGAGAACCGGAGAATTAATCAAATACTTTTTCAGACGCTTGAAGGACATCGTGCAGTCTGAATCCCACTTCCAAATTACTTCTTCCTTAAACAATCGGCGAAGGGGAGCAGCTATTATCGTAAAGTGTCTTACGAACTTTCGATAGTAATTGGCTAACCCAAGGAACGACCGCAACTCAGTCAAGGTGCGGGGGTTCGGCCAATCTCTGATTGCTGCTATCTTGGCGTCTTCCAGTTTGACCCCATCTCCATCAATCACATGTCCTAGGTATAGCACCTGACGCTTAGCCCATTCACACTTCTTTGGGTTTAACTTGAGTTTTGCTTTTCTCAATCTATTTAGCACAAGTCGAAGGTGCTCGGCATGCTCCTTTTCATTTTTGTTGAAAATCAAAATGTCGTCTAAATAAATCACAACAAATTTATTGAGCCATTCACGAAAGAGTTCGTTCATCGTTCTTTGGAAAGTGGCAGGGGCATTTGTGAGACCAAAGGGHAAAACTACGAACTCATAATGCCCATACCTTGTCCTGAAGGCAGTCTTATGTTGGTCCTCCGGCTCAACTTCAATTTGATGGTAGCCGGATTTTAGATCAATCTTTGAGAATACTTTGCTTCCCTGCACGCGATCCAACAAATCGTCTATTCGCGGTAATGGTTTAACATTCTTTATGGTTATGTCATTTAATCTCCTATAATCTATACACATGCGAACGCCGCCATCCTTTTTAGGCACAAAGAGCACAGGCGCACCATAGGGTGAGAAGCTAGGTCTTATTCAACCATTTTTCAACAACTCATCGAGTTGGGTTCGCAGTTCATCCAATTCTTGGGGCGACATACGATAGATAGGCCCCTTCGGGGGCGCGCTCCCTGGAATGATATCAATGCGGTGGCGGATTGGTCTTTCCACCACACCGCTTGGGGCTTCAGCCACATCTGCGAACTCTTTCAGGATCCTCTCAATCTCTTGGGATCTGACTTCTTCCTTTGTTTCTCCTTCCTTTACTGGGCGCATATATGCAACAAAGACTTGATCATACAAGTTACGTTTCTTAACATGGCGAGCGAACGCTGGAGCACTCATACAACAATGAGCTAGGCTGCTTTCTTTTCCCGATTCATGGTAGAGGCGAATCTTTTTCTTACCTCCTTGCGGACTTGGGAGCCAACATTCATGTTCCCTTAACTTTAGATCCGCATGTGCAGCCTCACCCCAATCCATTCCTAACAACACATCAAAGGGAAAGTTATCCTCCACCAAGGAGGTCAGAAAGTGGAGAACGCGTTCCACCTTCCCCTCTGCCTCTAGCCGAAAGTATACTTGTACTCCCTCGACGTATCGATCCATGACAGTTTCACTACTATTCGCCAACTTACTTACAATGGGCTCATCTAACTTCTTAACTTTAAGCCCAAGACGCAGTTTCTGCAACCCTTTTTTACTAACATAACTGCGTGTAGACCCGCTATCTATCATACCTCCTACTCTAACTCGATTTATTTCTAGATCTGCAATTATTAGTTGTCCTTTCTTTTTTCGCATTTCAGTCTAGGCTTGGCGACAAGCGGCCAACTCATCACCCACGCCAGCGAGGGATCCATCTAGAGAGGTGCATACATTTGCCACCTCTGGACAGTGCACTAGATGGGGACTTCCTTCCTCTTCAGTTTCTGCCATTGGGGCCTTCGAATGGGAGGATTCTGATTTTTCAACATTCGAAGCCCCGGTAGAGGCAACTGGCACCTCTACTTGCTGTTCCCTTTTGCCCCCCTATACACAAAGTTATTCCAGACGTTTTCGAATTCAACTCGATGCGCTTCAACCCTTTGTAGGGTCTGATGCATTAACTGCATATCTTGCCTTGTGTTGAGGACTGTCTCCCTGAGGAGAGCAAGCCGTGCTTCGGTTTCAGAGGGATTTTCCTTTTGCGCTTCTAGTGCTTTCTGCAATTTCTCCCCTTCTGCCTGCAGTCTTCTCTTTTCCTCTAACTCTTGCCGTCTGGAAGCTATCAATCTGGCATCCAATTCAATCCTCTTTTCTGCCATCAGCAGGTTACGTTCAACGGTGTCTGTCACAGTAGCCAACTTGGCGACGAATGCATCTCGCTCCGCGTCAGTTTCTTTCAATGGCTCGCTGGAATAGTAGTACCGTTCCCCCCAATCCAACGGCTCAACGGGAAGCCGGCTACTACTCTCAGGGATGTCATGACGACGTCGCTGCAATGTCTGTTCATCTTCCTGTTCTACTTCTTCTTCTTCTCCTTCTTCTATACTCTTCAATTCTTCTTCTAACTCCCTGTCCATTTTCTCTTTCATTTTCTTTCTTGCTTCTTCTTCTTTTTGTTTTTCCTTTGCTTCTTTCTCCTTTTTCTTATCTGCCAGCCTGCGGTCTATTTCTGCCTGCTCCGCAGGTGTAGGGCCAGGCTTCACTGTTCCGGACCGCATCAGCATGCGGGACGTGCACACACGTCCGAACCCCAGAGGAAACATGAGCCGGAACAGCGGCCCCAATAAGACAGGGCCAACAGGCCCTGGATGGGATAGTCATCCATGATGACTACCGGCACAGGGAGCCCTCCGCCGGATCACCAAGGCACTATCCCAATCAACTTACTTACTTGGTATCCGTTGGCAATGGAGTTCTGTGCCCCTTTTTTTTTTGGATATGCTGTCTGGCTCCCTGTATCAACCTTTGGCAATGTGTTTGTCTCTCTTGATATGTACTTTTTTTTTCTTTTACTAACTTGCTGGGTGTCTGATGCAGGTACGGAGTACAGCGCAGATTCAGATGGTTCACTTATCCAACCAGGAAGGAATACTTCGTTCCAATGTTTCTTTCTGTTGGGCTCAACAGGCCCTGTAGATACTCAATATCATCCTTATACTGCCTGGTACATGCTACTTCGTTCCAATGTTATTTCTGTTGGGCTCAACAGGCCCTGTAGATACTCAATATCATCCTTATACTGCCTGGTACATGCTATCTGACGTGGCACATAGCCACTTCGCACATCGATTCTTGGTTCTTGATAACGATACCCAGCCTGCCTATCAAGAGGGATAGGAGAGAGACCTACTCCTATTCGCAGAACACTGGACCACCTACTCTAGTGTGACCAGTTCCTGACACCTCACACTTAGGTCATCAGACTCTGACGGCTCAGACCTGACATCTATGACAACCCTGGTCCAGACTTCGACTCCTGACCAGATCAGCAGCAGTCACCTTCAGAGGGTCAGAGAGAGAGAAGGTAGGGGACACACACATGCATGCAGGTTCAGGGAAAGGAGGTGCTTCTCTCTTCTTGAAGATACCGCCGTTGGTGCTCCACGACCCTCCGCACGCTCCAGGTAAGTAGACTTCGCCACTTCTTCTTCGGCCTGCTTCCCCCACTATCAAAACCCTTCTTCTCTTCCTCCCTCCTTCACTCTTCCTCCATCACCACTTCGTCTCGCCGCCCTTGATCAGACCAGCGCTATGAGTGTAGCGAGCAACTGCTCCGATACCAAAATTGCATGGGTCCTGGGGACCATCTCATGCAGATGTGTACATGTCATGCATCATCTTCACACGCAGTGATCAATAGTCTCAACCATAGACAAAGGTAGAGAAAAAGAGGACCGAGTTTCACAGCTTATATTATCAGAAATATGATTACAAAGTGTTTCAAAGTTCCCCTGAGTCCAGCGCAACACAAATCTCTGGTCAACTCATCA